CGAAGATGGAGATCTGACTAAGCGAGCTTTCCTTTTTTATGCTGTCTCCTGAACTGAGGGTTTTTTTCACATTCCAAAATAAAATGCAAACCGAGAGCATTCTGTATTTTTGCATTTAGATTCCCTGTTTTGTCAGTGAGTAATTATAGCAAATAAAATATTGCAGCTGAATGTAAATTGTTAGGCAACCAGATCGCACCAGGATATTTTTCTTCCACAAGTTTTACATCATAGCATGTTAAATATTAAAATATTGCAAGTCAAGTAAACAGAGAGGGTTCTTTGCTCAAAGCATTAATTTTAAACAAACATTTCACTGTTATTCAGATCAGATGCTAGGAAACAAATGATGTTTTCTTTCAAACAAGATGAATATATCTTCTGGAGGGAAAGTAGGCAGGAGAATCACATAGACATAAGGGTATTTATGACACCAGAGATGAATTTCAACCAGAAGAACAGGAGAGAATTCATGTGTAGGTGAGAAAGAGAAAGACTAACAAGAGGGAATTTGGAAAGGAGCAAGAAATGAGAAAGATTGATTTCTCCTTAGAAGGAAAAAAAAAAAAATGAAGATAAGTTTCATGTCAGAACATTGGAATCTGAGTCAAAGTAAGGCAGGCAGGGAAGAAATCAAACATTTTCTAATAGAGTGAATTTCTGCATCTTTAGGCTATTACCAGGAAGGCAAAAGGAAGAAGAATTTTCAGATCTCTGAAAGACTGTCAATCAATAAAATACCAATCAATAAGTACTGGCGGAGTTCCTAATGTGTTCTTGACAGCCAGAGAATGAGTTATAGTCTTCTCCTGAGACACCTTAGCATGGGGTCAAGAAAAGGAAGCACTGAAACAATGAGCAGTGAGAATGTGTGTGCATGCCACACTGTGAATCAACAAAACGTGTCACTCGGAAGGAACCCAATGACATGGGCCGTGAAGATAAGTTAAGCTGTGGTCATAACACTCCCCTTTTCTGAGCACCTCCTACTTTCTAAGCCCTGAACTTGATGCCTGATGCTTATGATTTCCAGTGTTTAAAACAATCCATTAAGAACTACACCCGGTAGATTACTGAAGAGAATTAGGTTCAAAAGTTAAGTTGCTTATGTTATGCAGAGAGCGAAGACTAGGGCCTGGATTTAACCCAGGTTTCCCTTTCTGCAAAAGTCAAGTTCTTTCTTGAAATGCTAGATTTAACCTGAGAAAATCTTCCCCTATAATCCTTATGGCCAAATAGCAACCAGTTAAAACAAAAACAAACAGAAAAGCAGCATGGGAAAGTTCCTTTGTAGGGAGATGCTCTCAATATGATTAAAGGAATGAGCTAGTAATGATACAGAGGTTCTTTTTCTGCTTTAACTTTTTTTCCTTTGGGAAAACATGTCGTATTTGCTTGAAAGGCAAGCCTTTTAAACCATCTGAGACTTGAGGATTGGAAGGCACGGATGCTGATGGTCATCAAGGCTTCACAGAATGAGGCAAAACTTTGCCAAAGAGGAACTAGGAAGGGGTGATGAGGAAGTGAGTTGACCTCTTATTTCTTCAAGTTTGCCACTAAGCTTGAAAAAAGGACTGGAGAGATGATTACAATGGATAAATGTATACAATTTGCACTTCATGTTGAGTGGAGCAACATACTATACAACACATAGATGAATCAAAGAAATTTACAGAAGGTGTGGAGTGAACAAACTTTTACAGACTACGAAATTGCTAGTTTGGGTCAATTATACTTATATCTCTATGAGTATATAAGTATATATGAGAATATAAGTATAAAAGTGAGTATATAAGTATATAAGTGGGCAAAATACTGACATGTGGAATATAGGATCAATTCTCTGGCAATAAGGTAATTTTGTGGACAATTATTAGATGAGATTGAATATAAGCAAAAAAATACAGAATGATCTCACATTTGAAGAAGGTGATATAATCCAGATACATCACCATACCTTATGAGATTTCTTTAATTAGAAAAATAGCCCGGCTAAATTCATGTTAGTTGAGGAGAGCCAGAACACGACCCCTGTATTCACTGCACTTCACAAGACTCCCTTCTCTGAAAAGTGCTATAAGCAAAAGCCCAGAGAGATGGCTAAATCAAACCAAACAGACATAACATTCTTAATTTTTTAGAAAGCTACTGAAAGGCAAGTAAATGAAGCTGGGGATGTGATGAGCAAGAGATACTTCGCCTAGCTGGTTTTTAAAAGGGGAAATTTGGTGTAAGCTTTCTTGGATGTTGGACATTTAGCTATTTCTTATCAGAACGGCAAATTCACACACTCTTTAACCTAGTGCATTCATGGTTAAGAATTTTCCCTATAGACAGACTTTAAAAAATACACAGAAAGTGTGCAAGGATTTTCTTTGTAACACTGCATATAAAAACAAAAAGTTGGAAGGAATCCATATGCCATCGGTTGGGTTTAACAAGATATTCTGGCTCATCAATACAAAGCAATAGGTATGGCTATTAAGAATAGTGAGGTAAGGCTGCTCTTCAAGGTACAGTATGTTGTGAAAGAGCAAGGTGTGAAGAACATATACAATATCATGCCATCTCAATAAAGTTTTAAAGGCTCTGTATGTGTTGTTTCGATTCAAGGTCAACATCTGTATAATTTATCCTTGTGAAAAATTACAGAAGAAATTTCACAATGGTAGTATTTGGAGAAGAGGCCAGAAGATCGAAGTAGGGAAAAAAGGAGACGTTCACTTTTCTTCTTAAATCTTTTCTTTTTTCTGTTTGGAGTTCTATTATGTGCATTTCTATTTTGACTAAGATAAGTAATACCAATGAAAAATGAAAAAGTATGGGGGGGCAAAGTTTTATAGTACACACCAGGTGAACTGCCAATAAAACAAAGCCCAAGACCTATTGCAGCTACAGCTAACCTGAGTTCACACAGTGGACATGTGACAAAGCCAAAGAGAGTATGCATGTGGGCACATGTGTGAACAATGAAAACACAGGAGGTCCATGTTCCCTGGTGTTTTAACCATTTCCACAGTTGTCAATTAGCTCGTACCTACCCAGTACCTTGTTACACATTATGTCAAGCACTTCATGTGCATTATCTCACTTGTTTCTCATCAAAAAGAGCCACTGGTTTGGCTCCATATGCCATGGTGATCTGCCTCCCTTAATTCAGTCAAACTCCCAGTCCCCTGAGCACAATTCACTCAACCCATGATTAAGAGGAAAGCAAATCATTCTAAAATGTAATTGGAAAAGAGTCACATAACCTTCAAAATGGTATTTACATTTTAAAGAGAAGATGTTTTTCTAACCTAAACGAATTGAGGATTAATGTCATTCCAATGAGGAAAATATTAATAGTTAGGGTCAGCTCCCCTAAGCTGGTTTTATTCTTTTCTCCACTTTTTCTCCATAAGGTATTTAAAAGTCATAGTGTTTTGTTTTGTTTTGTTTTTTCCCATAATGATTCCTAAAGCAATAGGAGTGGAAGATTCTGGTTCAAAAAGTAGGACATGGGTGGGGTACTCATTTCTATGTATGTGTAGAGTATACATTATATGTTTGTTAAGTATGACAACTGCCTGTTTAAAACAGAGTAAAGGTGTTTACCAAATCAGAAACCCCTAGGAAGAGGTTTACATTTAATTAGTTTTTACATAAGCATTTTATATATGTACAGCATGCTTATAAAATAATAAAGCATGACACATTTGGGGAAAGCTCAACATAAAAAACCATTGGTTAATATTATGATCTTTCCATTGCATGTGAATAAACTAACCCTTAGGAGATCATGTAACTTTCTAAAGTCACTTATTTAGCAAGTCACATATTAAAACTGAGATTCAAATGTAAACACAACAGGCCTCATAGCCAGGAGAGTACACTGCATTCACTCCTGGTTCCAGTCTCACCCTTTGACCTGAGACTGTGTAGTCGAACACAGATCAGGCAGAAAGCAATCCATTCACACAGCAGAGGACTTTTCAAACACAAAAAATGAAAACTGTGAAAACATTTGTATTATATAAACAGCCAGACTGTAAAGATAGAATCCATTCAAACGTGAAGCTGCCCTGCAAGCTATAAAGCTTAGTGCTTAAGAGAAAGGTCTTTGGTGTCAGCCACCCTAGGATGAACCCTGACCTGGCCACCACCTAGATAGGTCACCAAGAGGCAGTTACTTAACCTGCTCCTAATTTTGTTCCTTTCATCTGTAAAATGGACAGCGTCACACTGCCTGCTTCATAGGAGTGTGATGAGGACTGAGGAAGTGCATGCATATTAAGTACTTAAAGTATCTGGGACACAGTAATCTCTTGATAAATGTGCTATGTTTGTTATGAGTAAGTTTTCAGTCATTATAAAAGTACCGGAGGGCTTCCATGGTGGCTCAGTGGTGAAGAGTTCGCCTGACAATGCAGGAGACACAGGTTCGATCACTGACTTGCGAAGGTCCCACAGGCCTCAGAGCAGCTGAGCTCATACTCCACAACTATTGAGCCTGTGTGCCACAACTACTGAAGCCCACACATCACAGAGCCTGTGCTCTGCAACAAAAGAAGCTGCCCCAACGAGAGGCCTGCTCACCACAACTAGACAGTAGCCCCCGTTTGTCTCAACTAGAGAAAAGCCCACACAGCGACAAAGACCCAACAGAGCCATAAATAAATAAATGTTAAAATAAAAATATTTGCTTTTTTAAGTATCTGAGAAATTCTAGAATGCTGTAGCAGGAAAACATCTTAAACTACAGATCATCACTTGTTTTCCACAGCAAGAAGGGTAAACCGGATCAATCAAAGGAGGAATACCACTTAAAGTTAGACTTCTCAGTTTTAATTTTATATTAAATGCCACCTCTATGAAACTTCCTATAGCAGAAACTCTTGGTGGACTCATCCACTTCTCATTCCCAACCCCTTCTCTCCTGTCTCTCCATCCCATAGCAAACTAACCACACTCCCAGCCCCCCTGGAAACCAAGTGTGAGTGTCACAGTAAAGTTCTTACCAGTGACAGGTAAACTCAGATCCATTGGCGGGTACTCTGGGGAAGTGTGTGCTTTTCCAATACAAAGAATAGACACTGTTCCTGCCATCTTTCTCCCTTTCTTCCTGACATGAATTTGATCAACAAGTCCAGGAAACAAGGCCGTCATCTTGAAAAATGATAGGAAAAAAAAAAGAACTGACATGCCTTATGTCTGGAGGACTTCTTGTCACACAAGAAAATATCCCCCTGTTTAAGACACTGGTGGGCAGGTTTTCTGTTACATGCAGCTGAACTCATTCCTAAATGACAAAGCTTCTTTTCCCATGGATCTTGACAGGCTCTGGCCCCAGGGTTTGGCAGGTATTACTTCAAAATCTGAGGACAGTACCCAGGTGTCTGGGAAATCCCTAGGTGTGAGAGTTCTATTTCTCTTTCCTTTTTCCTAATTCAAGCAGGAGTTGATTTTCAGCTTCTTTTTGAAGCTCAACTCTCATCTTGTTCTCATTTTTATCTTGATACTCAGAATGAATTTTCCAATGATATTCCAAAGTTTCCCATTCTCACACTGACCCAGTACACTTCAGAGAATTATTTTCCTGAAGTTGAGTTGTTGTTTTACTTGATTATTAAAGTTCAACTAATTAGAGAACTTGGTCAATAACCCCAAGCATACATTGCATGCTCAGGTCCACAGCGTGTATTTGAAACATGGGAATAATGAGATGGGGATTTACACTATTTCAGTCTCTTCATCTCCCTGCCTCTCAAAATGCCTACATAATTTGGTCACAGAATTCTGCTCTCTTGTAGCATCAATTAACTATTTGTTGGAAGTCCAATTTTACTCCTTGATCAAATTATAAACCAGGGGATGTTGAAAAAGCATTTTATAATTTTTTCCTAGTCATTCTTAGTGTCTGTCTCAGTGGTAGGCACTTCAAACATTCTCATTAAGTACTATAAAATAGATACCACCCTCCTCTACCAATAAGCACGGCTTAAGAAAAGACCTTGGCTTCCATTGTGGCTCAGTTGGTAAAGAATCTGCCTGCAATGCAGGAGACCCAGGTTTGATCACTGGGTGGAGAAGATCCCCTGGAGAAGGAAAACACAACCCACTCCAGTATTTGTGCCTAGGAAAGTTCCTGGACAGAAAAACCTGGCAGGCTACAGTCCGTGGAGTTGCAAGGGTCGTACATAACTTAGTGACAAAACCACCACCACCACCAAGAAGAGACCCATGGTTAAAAGTGCCCAACCCTGGCATAAAACTGTTCATGACTTTGAGTCTCTAATCATCTGATCAGGTAATTAGATCCTAAGGTTTAATGGTAAAGATAGATTTATGTGAGGGAAAATACCTTATACAAGGGTACTTATAGGTACATTTTGCTATACAGACATGAAAGTATATACTAAGGCTTAGCATATGGCAGCTACATATAACCCTCTCTATAAATATGAGTTGAATAAGCATACACATGCACATGGCAGGAATACTCACTATGGATGAATGTTCTTTTTTTCTAAAGATAGATAATCTTAACTAAAATAGTTGGGCAGTCAAAACTCCATACTCTGATTTAAGCCAGCAAAGTAAAAGAAACCTCTCTTTCTTCTTTGCTCTCTTCCTTACATGATATAAAATGTGAAGGACTTGCTCGTCACATTTGTCAAGAGAGCCCACAGGTACTGCCTGGCTCATCACGACTTATCAATTGCCTTTGTTGTTTGGTGGATATTGACCTGGGAAGACCTTGTATCTTGCAAAATCACTTGCACAGCAACTCTTCACTTTTTATTTTTACTCCGCATGAATGCTCCTGTAAGGCTCCTGTGTTGTGGGCTTCTACCCAACAGGCCCCTTCCAACATTAAACACCAGGTTAGGGCTTTTTATCCAGATGAATGTACCAGTTAAACCAGCATAATCATGCCGACATGCTTACAGTGGCAACAAGTTTAGGCCCACACTCTGAGAGGCATTTGTTGATGCAGAAAAGGGTCTGAGGAGTCACGAGTTTAGTTTTGTTTCATTCATTTGTTCATTCAACAAAACATTTATCAACAGGTTTGAATGTCTATTTCTACAGTTAAAATGTTGTCTGCTTTCATGAAAGGGATGTCTATCTTTGCTAATTTTTCTCAACAGCACAGTTTAACTGATCCCTGTCTCTTCATCCAAAGTAACCAATGGTGAACTATAGATCTTGAGAATAGGGGAAGAATAACAACAGTGACACCATGGAGAACTTTGGACATCAAGGTGGTTCCATGCAGCTGTGTGGGTTGTGCACTATTCAAGTGCAGGCACTATTGCCCTAATTATTCTGTGAAGAACTGGGGAGTGATGGGAACCCCATGTGCATGTTGGGGCAGCATGCCCTTGGGTCAACAGTGTTCCCTGGTATAAAGGGCACAAACTATTCAATCCTCCAAACTGTCTCATTCTTCAGTTTAGAGACCAACTGTTTATTGTGTACATGAAATACATGATTATACAGTACATTTATAATTCACAAGTAAATTTTCAAATGAGAGGCCTTCCTGGTGGTCTAGGGGTTCAGATTCCATGTTCCCAATGCAGAGGGCCCAGGTTTGATCCCTAGTCAGTGAATTAGATCCTACATGCTGCAACTAAGAGTCCACATGACTTAAAAAGGAACCTGCATGCCACAACAAGAACCCACCACAGACAAATTAAAAAAAAATTTTTTTTTCAAATGAGGAGGTGCCAACTAAAACTGTATCATAGAAACCAATCTACTCTGTACCTTATTTTTAGTAAAAAGAGACCAAAAAGCTCAGGAAAACAACAGAATAACAGAAATGCTATTCTTTAAAAAAAAAAATTCAGAAGTCCTAAGAATCTATGCCACATAGATACATTAATGTGCATGAAATATATGTACAAGGATGTTGATGCAAACACTGTTAAGTAAATTACTAAAACAGAGGAGTCACTAAATAAGTGATGGTACTTTCATACAGGAAATCCTATGAAGTCACTGAAATGAATGTGTAGCCTTATAAATTCCCTCCCAAGGATACAGCTCCAAAACTTACTCTTCAGGCAAAAATGGAAACAGAACAGTACAGATAGTGTGGTCCTGTCAGGATGTTTCTTAAACTCTGTATGTTGTACATGAAAAGATATTAAGGAACAGAATAGAGGCTAGAAGGATACAGGATGCAGGGCAGTCTTCTGACAGTGGTAACTTCTGGGGAGAGACAGAATTTTATGGCCTGTATTAAAGATTTTGAAGTAAATCCTTTTTTTTTTTTTTTTTGGTAATGCGAAGTATTTATGTGTCCATTGCATTAGGAAAAAAATAGTCCAAAATGACAGCAAACTACAGCCAGGGTAGTTTATGTGTAGTTTAATCTCAACAATTAAAATTCAGGACAAAACAGCATCTTGTTTCAAGATAACATGACTCACGTTAACTTTCCACTTCAATTCCCCCTCCCAACAGCTGTCTGCACGGAGCACATACACTGGTCAAACATGCTTCAGGCACTGGAGGTCCAAGAAAAAAACAGGCCAGGTCTTTTGGAGCCTGCCCTTTTGGAGCTGTAATCCAGGCCAGTGAAAGAGGCATATGTACTGGAGAGAGATTTTCAGATTAACTATTATTTTCCTATTAAATAATTAACCACAACATCCTCGGCCCAGTGACTGAGGGAGAGGTGTGCTGTGATTCCGCTCAAGTTCCTTCTCAGAGATATTCGCCGCCGCACAGCTCATTCCCTGCCCATCAAATATTCATCGCCTCACCCATCAATCAACCTAGGGTCCCTCAAACAGAATCCATAAAATAATAACACTTTACATTCCTAGAGGGCTTTCTACCTTTCCAAACACTTTCACATACACGGCATCCTAGGAGAGGGATGGTTATAATGTGGGAGCAAGGAAACATAAATTTATGATATAAAAGCTTCTACAGCCTGGCACAAGCTTCTCTCTGCTCTCTACTCACCCAACCTGTCCTTGTCCTCCAGTTTACAGTTGAGATGTCAGCTCTTCCAGGGAGCATCCTGAGCTACAGGCTTACGTTGCTTTCTCGTGCTCCATCCCCCCAACTCTACAGGGTACTGACCATACTGTTATGTGATGGTGATGGCTTGGTGTCCCTGTTCATGGCATTGAGGCCAGAATCACCTGGCAGGGGCTCTGCGGCCCAACCTCAACTTCAAGGTCTGACAAAGATAGGGGAAGATGTGACATCCATCATTTTAAAAGCTTTCCAGCTGTTTTGAAGCAGTTAATCCCCCAAAATTATCACGGCGGCATGGACGGTGTCTGTCTCCACATTACCAGCCATTGTACCAATACCTTCTAACAGCATGTGTATGTTTTTGGTGCCCAGTAGAGTTGCTCTTTAACCCTCTGGTTTTTTCAGCACATACTAACTGAGCACCTTCAGGACAGTGCCAGACTCCTATTGAATGATGAAATGAAATGAACTGAGGTCACAACCACTCCGTAGCTCTCATCATTAAGATGAAGTAACCTGATACCAGAAGCATCTAGAGGCACACAATTGGTCCATGTACCCTGGAGTCCCATGACCAACAATGGTCTTCTTATTGGGGCCTTAAGTTATGATCCTTAGACGCCAGTGTTCAGATACTTCCAGGAGGGCGGCAGTGGGTCCCGCTGCTCAACTGTGTTTGGAGGTGAGATGCAAGCAAGGGAGGTCGGCACAGGCCAAGAAGTTCATTTGCTTCTTGAGCCTTCATTCATCAGAAATCCTGATGAACATTGTATGTATCTTCTGTTCTTTGGGGGCTGTGCCCATATTCTACAAACACTTCTATTGTTGGTCCAGTAACTGAAACAAACCCAGACCACGTGACACTAAGTCAGAAAACACTAAGACTCAAATGCAGGGTCCGCTTTGTTCTTTCCTGGCACAGAGCTCAGGATTACAGAGCTTATTTCCAGGAAGCAAGTTTCCAGCCACTTAACTGAGAGCAGCTGAGACCGGGACAAAAGGGTACATTAGCCTAAGACGTACTGAAAACACATGATGAGAGCAAAGAAAGAAATGTCCTGCATACCAATGACTATGGCTCATCAGTTAGGGAAAATAAGCAAAGT